AGTACAATTTGAATTGTTTATAATAACTTAAAATATCATTTTCGACCAAAAATTAATTAAACATTTTCGAGCGATTATATTTTACAACTTCTGACGTGGATTAACTCAGCATGGATGGACTTAATTCAACTTTAGGTGATGAAGCTCCATCAAGAGCCAGTGTTTACTGATAGTATAGTGAACTCAACTGAGATCGGAGTCCCGAAATATAAAAGGTATATATGTAGGTATATAAGGTATTTTTGTTGGCGTAGTTGCAGCAACTCGTCGCCAAATGGCTTTTTAGAAAAAGCCGACGGATTTATAGCATTTGCTGAGAGATAAATTTGGGTCCGTATTGATTAATAATTACGAGTGAGTAGCTGATAAGTTAGGTAATAAAATTACTCTAAATAAAACAAATACAAATACAAACGAACATGGCTAAATTAACAGACAACTGTTTGAACACGAAGAAGGATTTTCGACTTATAAAGCTTGCCTATTTCATATATTGTTTTGTAAATTTTTTTTATTTTCATTCATTTCGGGATTGAGTTGTTAACTTGTATAAACAGTTCTAAATTTATAAATCAATGTTTGAGTCAGCTACAATTATTTTCGCACTTTTGTTTATTTATTATAGTTTAATACTCAGTCAATATGGTTTTGACAAAAGTAAATTGAAACACAGTATGTTCATTTAAAGTCATTTGTATTTCCTACAGGCCATATAACGAACAAAAAACGAATACATGTATAAGTTTATGTATGTGCTTTACTCATATTACTAAATAAATACAATTTTAGTTTAACTTGAAGAAAAGCAAGGCGAGCCTCCTGCGAAAAGTAGCGAGCTATGTTTACGGTACAATACAAGCACACATAGATATATTTGTATACAAAGTATAGATAGATTTGTGGTATTTATATAAACTGTCAAGTTTGATTTATATATAAGTACTTATGTATGCATCTATATACATATTAAATAAGAGTCATGAAGAAGTGTGGTTTAATAGTTAAAGGTAGTAATACACATATACTTTTATGCATATGTAAAGACTTTTGTAAATTGTAAAAACAATTTCATGATTTTCAAAATATTTTCATGTTGCAAATACATATACATATATTCTATAGTGAAGTAAATTAATTAACAGTACTTAAAAAAAAATATACAAGAAATATATATTTTAATTATTTCTAATTTTTCATATACGTATTTGAAATATCTATATGTATGTAATGTATGCAAGTATGTAAATACTTCTAAATTATGTACATACAATACGTTACTTCGTCTCTGCTTTTTCATGAACATTCACGTGCGCAATTCTGCGATTTGTTTGCTGAAGTGCTAAGTATAGCAGCTTATGACTACATTTGGAGTCACACATAAAAGGAGAAACCATTTCGAGATACCCTACTTTTTTAAAGACAAAATTCAAATTTAATGAAAATGTTTACTATCATTCTAAAGAACACACTTTGGCATTTCTCGAAGATTATCTCTTTTAAATAGTGAATTGAGTGAATCGAAAGGGGATTGTCCGCATAGACTTTAGACTTTACATAGCCTCACAGAAATAAGTCTAACGGTGTAACACGATCTTGATGGCCAATCAACCGACCAAAAACTTGAAGTTATCTGCTCACTGAAGTGTTCTCTGAATAAATCCATTAATTGACGCAATATGTTGGAAGCAGTACCGTCTTGTTGAAACCAAATATAGCCCAGATCACGAGCTTTAATTTCAGGCATCAAATAGTCGGTTGTCATGGTGCAATAACGCTCACCGCTCACGGTATATAAAGAAATTGAGTCCTCGGTGGTTTCTAACTTGCATCAGCTCTTTATATTTCAACATATTTCATGTACTATATATGGCAAATTTAATTGAAGTATACCGTGAATTTAACAACGAAAACCTCCATTTTAATTATTTCCTACAGGGTTAGCTTTATAAGCACATATGTATTTCTATGCTGAACATACCACCACATAAAAATTTCCATCATACATCTGATAGATATAAGAATATAAAATCATACGACTCGTCGACAGAACTGAAAAATCATATGCGCAAAATATCATTGTGTGCCTGCCCACCTTTCTGCTTACAAAGAAACAAGAAGATATATACAACTACATACATACATTTGTATATATCTATATAAAATATGTATATAAATGTATCAGTATGTACAACTTCAAGTTGCTTCCCGCCATTTTTGTTCCCAAATCACTGAGATTGCCCTGGCAAGGAACTGGTCTTCCAATAAAATACATATATTTTAGCTCTTTTCAACATCTTCTACTCTCTTATAATTGATGGAAAATCTCTTCATTTATGCAATTTTACTCTTTTTCATATTTCACTTTTTATTTTGCTTTTAAAACAACTCTTTGGCACCTACTTATACAGCGCAATTCTATGCTCACCAATTATACTGAGTAGGCAACCCGGTGAGTTGCCCCTACATAGGCGACGGTAGCAAAACAAAACAGCGAAAATAAAAGCAAATTGTGAGAAAATATAAAAATAAAGAAAAAACAACCGAAAGCAAATAAAAAATAAAGGTTTATAAAAAGTAGCAACACTCACTTCTCCGTTTTGTTTTGCTTCGACATTCGCCACAAGACGACTCGTTTAGTTAGGCACATACATATATATCGACAAAAACTGTCTACAATCAGTTGCTCCCGCTTTGCGTACGAGCATAAAATATGTACTGTGAAATAGAATAATTATATTTTCAACTTTGAGCTTTCGAGCTCTGTTTGGGGATATTCTTCGAGGCTTATCTCATATAGATCTCATTTTATTGTTATTATTATTTTACAAAATTTTCTACTTTGGCTACTTTTTATACGGATTTTATTAATTACTTCCTTACTTTTAACTGAAAACTATTTGTTAGATTATGTAAGCTCATTTTAGTGAAGCCACCAACTTCTCCAGCCAGAAACGTGATCCGTTGTGCCAGAGCTCCTAAGTATGGTTCAAAAGAAAGTTCCTTCGTATTCCAAATTATTTTAATTTAAAAACATACTATTTCTTAGAATAATGCTTCCAAATTATGGTTATAAAGAGTTTTGAAAGTTTAAAACTCATCATGTAAACTCCTAAAATCCCTTGAACATTTCTAAAGTGGCAGCAACAAACACTTTATCTGGTTTTTAGCCCTTAAAATATATTTAGTTTATATTTAATAAACGTTTTCGTACACTAAAAGGATAATTTTTTAGGAAACTCGAAAAGAATTTCGTGAACCTTAACTTTATGGATACAATTTTTGAAGAGCTAAATAAATCTAAACTTTCCTCTAATCTCTTCTGACCAGACATTTTTTGGATTTTTTTCTCAAAAACTTTCCTATTTCAAAAATTCCTAACCTAGATCTGTCTGATTCATAGAAACTCTATATAAAGAAATCGATGGACGATCTATTATCAGATCAATGATCGAGTTTTCCAAAGGATAAATATGATTGAAGGATTAACTAACATCTAGTACAAGATCGATCATGGGCTCGATAGATCGATACGTCAGGTATTGGAAACAAAAATATTTCAACCCAAGAAGTCAATGATACGTCCAGAAGTCTCTAACAATATTCGAAACCATTTAAGGAAGTCTTTTCGCCAGCGCAAAATTGTATTATCTTGACCGAACAAATCCACCTCTCTTTCATTTATATATTTGAATCGTATTCTGCCACCTTTAAAGTTTAATCCCGCGCACTGTATACAAAAGAGCTTTCTTTCAGTATTAAGAAACAAAATCTCAACCAACACTTTTTAAAGAAACAGACAGCAAGAATATAGTTCTATTGCTGCTTTTTACTCTTCTTTCGAGAATATATTGTGATCTTCTGAGCGTGAGCGTAAAACTTCTTAAAGAGCGCGACACAGAAGCAAGAGCGTATATCCATAAATCAGTGCATGGTGTCTTGCATCCTCTTCTAGCATCTTATGTACACTGCAAAGGCTTGATGAGCAGGTCTTTGTCGTGCTAGCTGCTGAGTTGCTCTTCTAGTTGGCTGATGGCTCAGCTAAATCATCAGCGCTGCAAGTGCATATTTACCTATGCATACATGTAGTTGTGTATGTATACATGTTTGCAAGTGTGCTGACATTTACGTGTGTTTGGTTTTGTATTTTCCACCACTGCAGCACACAAATACTAACACTACATAGCACACGCATTGACGGCCTACCTGTTCGTAGGTGTGTGTGTGTATAGCCTCCTGTTAAATGCACACCAACTCCCATGCAGCTATTTCAATTGCGTGTGTGCGTTACTGAGCTGCTGTTCTGGTTTCTAATTGTCGCGCTTACTGCTGCCGCTACGCTCACGCTGCACAAGACTCGTTGCATGCAACTGCAGGCTGCCACTGACTCTTTGACTTCGCTGCTTTATTTACCTTTTTTCCTCGCGCTTTATGTTTTTCCATATTTTTTCTTTTGCTTTTTCAATTTTTATTTCAACGTGCGTTTTTTGTTTTTTTTTTTTTTTTTTTTTTTTTTTTTTTTTTTTTTTTTTTTTTTTTTTTTTTTTTTTTTTTTTTTTTTTGTTTTTCTTTTTGCTTCAAATCGGCTCGCATTGTTGTTGCGCGCGCTCGACTCCCCGCTGTTGTTGTTACTCTCAGCTGCATTATGATTGCGCTGTCGTGCTGTTGCTTGCATCTATCGTTGTTATTGTTGTTGATATTTTTTGCTGCTGCGTCAGTGTGTTGTTGTTATACTGACTCTGTACACTCGCTAATTGTTGTCGTTGTTGCTGACTGCGTTGGTTCACTCGCTGGCTGGCTGCCTGCTTCTGACTGAATAGCTGGTGTTTTTCGAGCGTTCTGACTATCTGCATTGGTATGAGTGACAAATGCCGTCGGTCAGATTTGCTCGTGTGTTTGTGAGTAGTTGACGACGTCAACATCGCCGCTGTGCCGCCGCTAGGAGGAGGTGGCAGAACCTACACTGCGCGCCGACTAAAACAGAAGCACAGTTGATTGAGAACAACGAAGCAAGTAAGACGTGTTTGTTGGTTGGTGGTTAACACTTTAACGCTGGTTTTGTTTTTTGGGAACACTCTGCTGTACGCCAAAACGCCAACCCAACAACGCAACACCAAACGACAATTCAAAGTGCAGACGTACGCTCGCGTGGGTGTGTGTGTGTGTTCATATGTGCGTGTGCTTCAGCAAATAGACGCGAACTTGCAAAAGTTGATTAGTGCCAAAACAACAATAACATTAAGAAAAGTAATAAGTAACACAAAACCAATTGAAGACGTGCTAAATACTTCCAGTTAATTGAACGTAATAACAAAAACCGTTAAAATATATTGTTTAAAAAATTTTTCGAATTTCGTAATGTTCGAAAAAATTGTAAACAAAACGATTTGTAAGTAACTAAAACTTTTAAGTGCGAAATTTGCCTGTTGCAGCAAATTTAAAAATATAAAAAGCGAAAAATATCAACAAAGTGCTGTGAAAATTGTAAGTTTAATAGCCAAATAAAATTAAGCAATATATTTAAATACTAAAAGTGCAAAAATAATAAAACACAAACTGTAAAAAATATTACTTTGCATTTTATGACGAAATTTTCATAAATACTTGGTGAGCAAAATAAAAGGTGGTTTTGTTTTCAATTTGTGAACACTGAAACTATGCTGAAATGAAGACAAGAAAAGAATTTTTTAATATTAAAAAAATTAAAAATAAAAAT